GAATCTTAAATTAAAATTTTGTTAAAAAATTAAGTTTATTTAATTAAACTAATTAAATAATATATTTTTTTATCTATATATTTTTGAAGATCTTAATTGTCTAAAAGTTTCTTATATTTTTAATTACTCAAAAATTGTGTATATGTTGTGTATAGTTGTGTAATGTTTTAATATATTCATCAAGAAAAAAACAATTTTAGATTGTGTGACCAAGTACTGTAAAAATAATATACCTAATAAGAAATTAGGGTATCTAATATGTTTATATGACAAAACTTACCATAAGTATGTAGATTTTTACCACCTGAGAAGTCTAAATCATCGGAATAATGAAATGACGAATATAATAATCGATCAGCCGATATTGGCATCGATTCCAAAGTCTTTCCATCAAATTTGTATAAGCCACCATTCAAAGATGGGATGAAACGTACCAGTTGTCCATTATCATTAAGCTGTAAATTAATATTTGGTCTTGAGTTATTAATGTCTGCTTTGTCTTAGAAAATAATTTACTATTTAGAAATGACTAATAGAAATTTGTGATCTCTAATATTAATAGATATAATATTTGTTTAAATTTGATTACTTCTATATTATGTATACTGGACGATAACATTGGTCCATCATTAAAATCCAAAGTCCACTGCTTTTGCCCATAATTACCAGCATCAAGTGCGGATATCTTCCCATCTAATGTGCTGACAAATACCAAACTGGCAAAACAGTATATATTTTTTATAAACAATCAGACAAACTGCTTTATAAAGTCAGATGAATAAAATATCAAGATGCTAACATATAAACAATTAATATTCACTATCTAATTTTAACATTCTACTCAAATACTCTGGTTTTCTATTTATTAATCATTATACATAATTTCAAAAATACACTAGTAGGAATTAACTTCTACAGGCTTTATTTTTCTCCTTCTCTTAAAAAAAAATATAGATTTTTATATTTATTTTATTTAATTATTTTCATGTATACCAAATGTCGTATAAATCCTCAAAAGATAATAAAGGATAACAAAGGATGGCTAATAAAGGATTAATAAGTGCTTAATTAAATTTGCGTTTAATTTATCACTCAATTTTAATGTTTGTATAAAAAATAATGTAGAAAAACATTATGGAAGAGCATTAAAATTCATCAAAAGACGAAAATATGAGACAAAATAATTCGTCGATAAATGTATCGCTAAAATCTGCTTAATTGAAAAAAAAAACCAATCAATCAGAGTAACTACCTGCGCCTATTTATTGATGGTTGGCCGCATAAAGTTAGCTGTCCTGTCTCAGCAATAATGTCGTCAGCGAAAACGAGAAAATATGTGGTTACGAACACCACCGAATAATAAAAACATATTTTTTGCCATGCACGTGAGCGAAACATCTTCTATGTACAAAATTGGCTAAAATTTGTAAATAACATCCTGGTGTAAACGTATTGATGGTAATATATAATATGCGAGTCAAGTTTTATCACAATGTTTGATTATTTTACGGAGTCAAATGATAAATATTCTTCTTCTTTATCTCAAACAGATAACACAAGAGGGTGGTCTGGCAGGCGAGCACGCGGTGTCAAGTATCGCGAGTTCTGCTTACGGATTTTGGTTTCATCTGTAAACCATCGTCCGTGTCCCTCTCCTTGTTCTTTGTTTTAAACCCTTAAGCCCGTCGCGCGGACCTTAGAGTTGAATATTTCATTCATCTGTTTGTTTTACGCACATGGTCTAGATTTCTAGCGTTCGAGGGTCTCTTATCTTTGTTTAGAATTTTCAAACCTTTGACGTGAGTCTTAGTCCCGGAATATTTATTGATCCGTCTCGAATTTTCAAACCTTTGACGTGGGTCTTAGTCCCGGAATATTTATTGATCCGTCTCATAGTTAAAAAATTGTATCGTTCTAAAAGATTAGTCTCGCCTGCTAGATATCTCCTTGTTTATTGTTTACGTCGTGTGCAGAAAGGTTCCAGAGCGTAATTTTTTATATCAGTGAAAGAGTTCTATGAAAAAAAAGAATCGTGGAGTCCACCGGATGTAACAAAAGTTTCAGTTTTTATTTTATAAGATGTTTATATATAGTAGATAAGGAAAGATCTCCGCGCGATGCTGGAGAGTCGACAAAAGCGAGAGCGAGAAAGAATGAAGGAGCAAGGGAGATGACAAATATCGAAGAGTTTCGCTTGCGAGATTTGCTTTATCTGTCATCTTTCACATTTATATGTCACGTTCAGAAACAGCACCCGAGCATCGTTCTACCTTTGTTCAACTTTTAGTAAATAACAAAGATAGAACGACGCTCGTGTGCACACGGGTGATGTTTCCGAACGCAGCCTTGCTATATAAAATAAAATTTCTGTATTTCGTATTTTATATATCTGAAAATAATTGTACTGTATTAATTACATTTATGTGATTAAAACATTTTGACCTCAAGCACGACATTAATCGGATTATTTTTAATGAAATCATAATTTTAATTACATAATTGATTCAAAATTATCGACTTCCGTTTCCGGTGGGCGAGAGAGAGTATTGTGGAAAGTGTGCAGTGCAAAAGGTAGAGAAAGAGAGGAGACAGGGAAGTGAGTGAAAGAGTGAGAGGTGTGCACGGGAAGAGTGAGGTGAGGGGAAAGCGGAGAAGTAAAGGTAGAGGTACGGGAGAAGGTGATAGAAGTAGGGAGGCGAGAAAAGATAGAGTAGAGCAGAGTAAGGTTAGGAAGAAAGAAAGAGGGTCACGTGATAGGAGAAGTGAAGAACCGGGAGCGTGAAATAGGTAGAGCGGCGACATACGGTTCTTCTTCTTCTTTCTTTTATGGCTGGTTGGGCATTAGTCGCCCATACACCATTGTTTCTTATGGGTTTGTAAGATATAAGCAAAAACTCTTAAGAGAGGAGGAAGTCCAAAAAAAAAGGTTCAGACAAAGGACATACGCAGTACGCAAAAACACGTCCGAACTCGTCCTTTTCTACGTGCACCTCGGCTCCCACTCCTCAACACTCGGTCTAGATATACTATGTCTATGGTCGGAACTAATGATAAATATTCATATAGCACACCATGAAGTAAGAGAGAAGGAGATCGAACTCTTAGAACATATATAAATGGAAGGGGAATAGCAGGCTGAAAAGTGTCGAAAGGAAGTGAGAAAGAAATCGTAGTTGCCTCTCTCATGGGAGTAACTACACAACAAGCATCGTGTCTGTAGTATCAGAGAGAAGCATGAGAGCGGCCATACCGGCGTTTTCCGTACGATAGCTTTTCGGTCCCGTACAGCAGCGCCTCTACGTCCATTTTACAGCCGCTTGGAACTACATAGCCACGTCCACTTTCGATGGCATGGTAAACCACCGTTTGGTGTGAGTCCGTGCTACGTCCACAATTGTAAATTCATTAATACGTCCCGCATATAAATGTATTATTAAAGTAAATCTCGATAAAACGATTCTAGAAAACAAAATAATTTTTTTAAGATAATTCTTGTACGTATAAAATAACTTATATTTTGTATAATATTTTTGTTATCTTCGTTAAATGTTACCCTGCCGAAAATGGTCGATTAAAACGGATTTAAAAAAATGTAATCCGAATCGATCGGGATTTCTGCACCGAAAATGCGGTATTAAAACCGATTGAAAATAGTCAAATCGAATTTAGTACGCTTCAGGCAGGTTAATATTGGGTGATATACATCCACCTCAATCCGAAATTATACGATTTCATAAAGTTATAATTAAAACTTGTTTTAATGCAATTGAATTGGAATTTACCATAGTCAATCCATAGGTAAGAATAATCCCTTTTAATAAAAAATTCCATCATTTCGCAGATGAAAAATAAATCGATTTTATGTAGTGTGAAGTCGGATTTGCTGTTATCATGAGTCACAATCAATTATTGAATCGGTGTTTCTACAATTGAAAC